CAACTATTGCTCTATATTTATATGGGTTCATTTGTATTTTCCTCAAAACAGCTGCAACGTTTTGACTGTTAATCTCTACTGGACAGATTGATGCATCATTGGAACAAGGGGTTGAGGCTATGAGGACCTTGATACTTGGTGGGTTTACCGACAAAATTACTAGATTCAATCTGGGGCAAAAGTACAAGTATCACAAAGTTTGAATCCAAGAAATAGGCATAGCTGAAAGAGAGGCAAAAACCATCTCAGTAAAGTTGAGAGCTTCTGACATTTGAGCCAAAAGATGTAGCTTCTTGTAAGCTTCCTTGCAGTAATTAATGTACGGATGCTTAACCATTTATTGTCGATCGTCATCCTCGGCTCCGTCTGGCCAGCAGTGTCTGCATCTCATGTTAATTGAGGTCATATGACTGAGAGATAAATTTCATTGTCATGTTATTTTGTTACGCAATTTCATATATGCAGTCATATTATGGGATGATTGTTTTCGGATCTTAAGCTCAAGCATGCCAAAGTCCCACTAAGTAATAGCAAACCAAAATGATCTACAAGTTTTCTGGTTATTCTGCTTTTATGTCATTTGTCTTTCAGGTTTTAGATGTTGTTTAGCACTATTATTGATTAGAGCTTGTCATAGGCTAGTCATTGCATAAATCTTTGCTTGATTGCTGAAACCTGATGACAAGCTACTAATCTGGCTGGATCTGGTGTTACATGCTTGTTTTCTGCAAAGCTATCCTGGATAAATTATATAATTAGTACCCAAAATATAATTAAATGCTGAAATAGCATAGATTGAAAAAGTTTTGGTGAAAAAATATACTTTGAAGATTTTAGAAATACAAAATTTGATAAATGTCATGTTTTAGAACCGTGACAACTGATCGCAGTTTAGAAATACAAAATTTGATACATGTCATGTTTTAGAACCGTGACAACTGATATGATGGTTACAATCATGATATCATGATATTATTGAAATGTTGCATTTTTGAACTGAAACATTATTGTTATTGAAGTGTTGCATTTTTGAACTGAAACATTATTGAAATGCTACAATGTGCAGCTGTTTTGAGAAACGACTGGACATTTGATAAAATAGTTGGATTGTAGTAGCTTTAGGAATGCATGGACATTTGATAAAACAGTTGGATTGTAGTAGCTTTAGGAATGCAATAAACACACGCACACATGCAAAATGAATACAAAATAATTTAATAATATAATATTCAAGTAATTTTAAAATATAAAAATATAATTCATCTATCTATCTATATTTAGATTTAACTTGTGCTTTACCTGAGTGGCTTTGTTTTTTATCATGACATCATTAAGAGTTAGTCTCTCACTAAGGTTTTAAATCAAGTGTGACAAACATTTAACTATTTAGATTTAACTCGTGCTTTACCTGAGTAGTTTTGTTTTTTATTATGACATCATTAAGAGTTAATCTCTCACTAAGATTTTAAATCAAGTGTGACAAACATTTAACCACCTAAACGTTATGCTGTGAATTTCGTTTTCTTTATCAATACAACGAAGATAAGATACAACTTCTCAACTTTCCTGTAGCAAAAAGCTAATTTAATATTAATAAAATATTAATTTTAAATTAAAAGATAAATACATAAAACTTAATGGTTAATATATATTTAATCATGAAAAGATTTTATTATTTACATGATGTTGAATTCACTAGGCATTTGTCGTGTTATATTCATGTATTAAATTATATATTTCTTATCAGTAATAACAGGAAACAACTCTGTAAATATCTCATTTCTTTATACATTCCACTATGATACATAAGCATTATGCCGACTTTAACAATCATAATCATTATTTTTATCCCTATAAGTAATAGTGTGCAAAACATCACTTGTATTGATAATGACTAGAATGTGTTTTTTGTAGCCGAACTGTTGCATTACCTGATCCAGACAATGTAGCTCGACCATCTTGAAACATATTAGCAGCAGTATTATTGTCTCCGTTACCTGATCCAGACAATGTAGCTCGACTATCTTAAAACATATTAGCAGCAGTATTATTGTCTCTATATCCATCCCGCTGGTGCAATGACCAATTTTTCTTTCGAGTAAAGCATTCAAATGCCTTACAAATTATAAATTAAATAAATATCAAACAACAATAATTCGATGTAATGAATTAGTTTATTTAACAAATAGTTCAAAAAATACATGAATAGTATATTGTCTATCAAGCTCGGTCCAATAAAATGCTAACATTTATTTGGATTACTTTCAAAAACTTGTACGACACACCATCTTGCATTAAAAACATGTTGGTTTAATTGTATTTTTTAAAGTTTCAAAAACACAATATAAATATATATAATTGCAAAAATAACATCGCAATATTTGCATCTTAGTAGGAGATTACGTGTAACCCTTATAGCTTGGACTGTCATATCCGACAATTTTATTTTATCATGTATGGTTACAACTGTCATTGAAAGATTATTCATTACAAAGGTTAATATAGCACCAGCAATAAAATTTGCATAAAGTTGATGGTGGTTTTTTTGGACAAAGGTCGAAACACACTTGTGTAACCCTTTTAACTTTGCTATGTCAAATAAATATGATGTTTTTATAATATCCTTTATGCAAATACAACTTACAATTTGATGCTTACACACATTGTAATTGAACAAATGTTGAATTCAATCATTTGACTTGGTACTCAACCAAGTGTGCAATATGCCACCGTTTAACAACATTAGCCAATTTATTTTTACTATTAAATGTTTGACCAACCACCAATTCAGACTCTCCTGACATATATTTATGACTAAGTACTCAATCATGTGGAACAACAAAACTAAATTTAGAAGCATCTCTAAATTCATGAACATGAGGAATAATTTCATCATGAACATTATTATCAACATTATCTTTATTGTCACTAGACTTATAATAGTCTAATATATGTTGATCAACAAAAGAATTGTCAAACATAATATCATCTATACTTTGCATCAAATCATCTAACAATAAACTATTTTTACCTTTATTAATTGAATTTAAAAGACTAGTAGAAGTTGAGACACACACAGATTCTAGTCAACTACTCATATATAATATCATTATGTTCAAACCATTTTGAATGAAAGAATCAATTATTGTCTTAAAACTATCATCACACACAATTAGTACAAGATAATATTCTTGTTTACCAATTTGACACCTCCAAGTTATTTCAACATCAATATCATTATAATTTCACCCAAGTTCATGACAAATAATTTCTTTTATTTTACATACAACATGTCTAAATTACCAATTAACAACAAATTGCTCTTGTCATTGTATGTGTGATACTACTATTCACTTTAGGATTACATACAACATGTCTAAATTACCAGTTAACAACAAATTGCTCTTGTCATTATATGTGTGATACTACTATTCACTTTAGGAATAATATTACCACCACAATAACATAACATAAATATGTTATTAGATATTTTGTAAAAAGAAATCGGATTCTTGTCAATTTAACATAATTTTAAGTAAATTGCATTATCTTAACCCTAATTGGAAAAACTCATAGCAAATTCAATCAAATTCCTAAAACTTAACATTAAAGCAAGCTTAACAAGAAATTAAACATAATTCATGATATCAATTGATATTTTTTTCATGCTCAATTACATTAATTCAAAAAAAAATTCATATCAAATTAATTTAATTCTAAAAAAATACAAAATTCATCAAGTTATCAACAATTCAATAAAACATGTAATTTGTCATAATTCAACCACATTTATGCTGTATTGCATGAATATATATGCATATTCAACTACATTATTATCCGATTCCAACAATATACATAAAATTTATAATTTGACAACTTAACATAAATTAAACATAATACATAATAAATTGAAATGATTAATTAAACTTATTTTCATGTTCAACTATATCAAATAAACTTTAATTAAATGTATTTTTAATTAATTTATCATTAATTCAACAAACTCTAAATTCAAACAAAACAATTATTTGATTTCAACCAACCAAATACAAATTAATAGCAATGTAGTATGTTTATCTTACTTATAAGACTATAAAAGTTGTTGAGGCAGTAAAGGTGGTGGCAATAAAAGAAATGATAGACTTTTAATACAAAAACATCAAAGGAGGCTTAGAGACTAAAATGAGTTTAAGAGTTGTTGAGGCAGTAAAGGAAGCGATGGTGGCAGTAAAAGAAATGATAGACTTTCAATACAAAAACATCTAAGGAGGCTTAGAGACTAAAATGAGTTTAATTTATAGTTGATTTAAGGGCAAAATCTAAGTGTTTAACATGTTTTTTAGGAGACAAGTGAGGATGACAATGGTTTTTTCTGTGAGAGAGACAACATTGTTGTTAGTTCAATATATTCTTCGATTTGTTTAAATTTTAATTAATGTCACACTTGTAAAATACGATATCTTAAATCTTTGTGTCTCAGAAACATGATTTTTAGTGTATTGTTTTTCAAATGGTGTTACTCCCTTTAAAATTTAAATTTTTGGCTCTAATTTTTTTAAAAAAAGAAGAACCATATTTGGTTGGTTTAACCAGGTATCATGTATTGTGGTTGAAGATACAAGGCTATTTGAGATTATATTTTTGAAATGAAATTGTATACTTGCAATTCTCTTTAAATATTTAAAAATAATAATCAAACGTGCTAGTTCAATCATGTTCTTATTTTCCTTTTATTGTCGCAGGCTGCCTGCCATATGTAAAGCCTTGAAATAGCCGTCTTACCATTGGTGATGGCATCGTTTACTTAGTCAACAAAGGGACAAAAGAAGTAAAAGAAAACCTTTCATTTTCACCTTAGAAAGGGACAAAAATAATCTGTACCCAAATCAAATGATCACAAATGGATGGCTCTTGATCCATCACAAAACACCAATCAAAACCATCACAAAGAATCAATCTAGAATCCATGGTGATTCAACACCTTTTATCCATAACGTTGTAATGGTAAACTATTATAACTAGATCAAAAGGGTTTCTTTGTCTCCGTTTTTTGACCGTTGCAACATCAAATTCTTAAGCAACACGAAAACCTGAAGCTACCCAGAACAATTAAAGAAACTTAACAAAAACAGAGAGGAAACCATCAACAATGGCAGAAACTAACTGCTATCTGAACCAATCCCATCAACAAAACCCTAGTGTTCAATCTCTCTTTCAAGCCATTGATCATATCTCTCTAATTCTTTCTCAAAACTCAGCAGATTCTGATCAACCGGTGCATTTAAAACTGACCACTGAGAGTTATATCATGGAAAGAGGGCCGAGATACAGAGCGTATGCAGAGTTAAGAGAGAAAAGACTAAGAATGACGATGTTAAAGCAACAAGAATATGAAGAGACTGATTTTAAACAAACTCCACCAAAGAAACAAGTGAAGTTTCATGGAAATTTGGGGAATTCAAGAGAAGGGTCCTCTATCTTGGCTCAATCGGTGCCTGATTTCTCGGCTACTCTGAGGAAAGAAAACCGAAAGCCACGGCAAGAGCTGACCCCTCCATCTAAGAATGTGTCAAAAACTAATAATGGGTTTCTATCGAATTCGAGAGGGAGTAAGTCTGCAAATGCTGGGGAGAAAAGGAATGGTGGTTTGTTAATGGCGAGGAAGAGTTATGCAAGTGTTGAGGAATTAAAAGGATTGTCTTTGGCTGCTGCAAATGCTATTAATGGAGATAACAGAGGAAACAGAGCAGGTAGAGGAGGAGTTGGTATTGGTATTGGCAAGAATGTTATGGGATATAGAAAATTTTGATATTGATCCATCTATGGTGGTTTCTTAATACATTCTGAAATTTGTTGATCTCTTAACTGGGTTTTTGTTTAGTTTGGTTTGATTTTATCAGAATTTTCTCACTACTACTGCTATTTCTGTAAGTTCTATTCTTTGATTGGTTGTTGATTTGGTCTCGGGGATTGTAAAGCTCTGGATGTAATCATGCTTCACATACGATTATAGTATTACTGGAGAAACTTTTGTCTCTCTTGGGATAAAATCCAATCTTATTTGCATTAAAAACTTGTGTCGTGCTGCGGATCTTTCCTTTCCTTTCTGTTTTATAATAGAACCATGAAGGAGAAAACACTGATTTAGATAGTGTCTGGTTATTGATTGTGAACATAAAAAATAGAAACGAGATAAAAATATATTAAAGTGAATAGAGAAATAAAAATAAATTTATTTTTAAAACAGTTTTAAAGTGAGTTTTTTAAAATATATTTGGTTGAAAAAATAAAGATACAAATAAATTTATTTTTGGAACAATTTTAAAGTGAATTTTTATATTTTCAGAACAATATGTATAAAAAGATATGTTTTTAGAGATTTTTTTTTAATTTTTAAAATATCCTTCTAAAAAACTGTCAATTAAAAAATTATCTAACTAAAATATATAAGAATAAAAATAATTATTATTATATTTTTTTTTAAATCTAATTTAAGGAGGTAAAGCCTAAGTTAATGATTGAGATCCAAGTCATTAGTTATGCTGAACCAAGTTAGTCTATAAATAAAAATAGTTATTATTATGATTTTAAAATTTAATTTAAGAGTCAATCTAAGTAAGGTCTATGTCACAAGTGAGGTTGATTATTAACTTAGATCAATGTAAGAATATAAATAGTTATTACTTGTTATTATACTTTTAAAACCATACTTAGGGGTTAACCTAGTATAAGACCCGAGTCATGTGTTAGAAGAGTTAACTTAAGTTGACCTGAGTCAAAATAAAATAAAATCCATTATTATTATAGTTTAAAAATTTGATTCGGGGGTCAACTCGAGCTAAAGCCTAGGTCTCAGATTACGAAAGTCAACACGGGTTGACCTTGATCAATATAAAAATAAAAATTATTATTATCATAGTTTTAAAATCTGACTTAGGGTTGACCGGGGCAAGACCCAGGTCACGAGTTAGGAGGGTCAACACAAGTTGACTTGAACTAACACATGGATAAAGTGGTTATTATCACAATTTTAAACCCCGACTTGGAAATCGACTCAAGACAAGGTTTATGTCACAAGTCGGGAGAGTCAACCCGGCTGACCTAATTTTTTTAAAATAATCAAAGTAACCTTGTTTTGATCCTGTTTTTTTCAAAAAAATCAACAGGGTTTCTAGCCGTGTTTTATCCTAGGTCGACCTAGGTATTTAATCGAGTCAAGTTGAGTTAATTAGTCCTCTATTTTTTTCTTAAACTCAAATTAGTTTAGGCCTTAGGTCAACCTAACAAGTCAATCCTAGTTTTATAACTAAGGTTATTATAATATTATTAATTTCAACATGCAATATAAAAGAAAAAAATATCTAGATATTTTTTTAAATATGTAAGTTTGAAAAAAAAATACATATTAAGGGTAAAATAAATTTTTTTATATTTTATTTTTTCTTGTTCATCATAACCAAACATGATATAGAGATAATCACTTTATCATATAAATCATTACTAAACACAATTCTATCTTTGTCTTTTTTTTCTATTTGTTTTATTTATCTTCACTGTCTTTATCTTTTTTTTTCCCGAGATAGTAACCAAACGTTACCTAAAAAAAAAAAGGCTAAAAGGCATCCTACGAGAGTTCACTCCATATAATCATGGAACCTTGAATTCAATTTTCACGTATTGCTTGATATCCTTGATGTTTTCTAATAATGACTTCTCATATCTAGTACCTAATGATTTTGTTATTTAATTTTGATGGATATTGAAGCACATTTGTATCAAAAATGGGTAAGTTGGCTATATATACTATGTTGGAAGAAAATCAATTCAAGAAACTTATTATGGAAAGTAATATTGAATTGCAAATCTGGACAATAAGAGAGAATTTGAGAGAAAGGTAAACTTTATTAAGTAATTTTTTTTAAGTTGTTTTTTTCAACACACTTTATATTATGGTTCTGATTACAAGTTTATTTATAAGTATAAAATTTTAGATAAACAAAGAATTGAACTAAACAAGAAAACCTATTATAATTAAGAATGTAATTTTGTCGACTCAAGTGGTTGACTGGTTCTCAACCAATAGCCTGATTTCTCTGTATTTTTTTTAAATACCAAAAATCTAGATTATTTTTACCATCCCCTTTAAACTTGATTTCTAATTACTCCCAGTATATCTCTTTTCTTGGCAAAAAATTATTTATGAGTGGCTTTGTGAAAATATCTGCAACTTGGTTTTGGGTTTTTACATATTTGACTTCAACTTTTTTTATTTGTAATGCAATCTCATAGATAATAAATTTTTTTGTCAATATGCTTATTTCTTCCATGAAATACTTAATTTTTTTTTGTTAAGACAATAACTAATAACCTGTCCATATAAACTTTTATAGACTTCTCTTAAAACATATGCAACTGCTTCAATAATCTTCTTAGCCATATGGAATAACAAACACATGTTGTAGTAGTTAGATTTTCAGTTTTATAAGTTGATAATGTGACTATAGATTGCTTCTTTGAACTCTATGTGAATGTTGTGTCTCCAATATAAAAGATAAAACTTGTAGTGCCTTTTCTATTATCCATATCTTTGGTCATTATCACTACAATCCACAAGATCAAAGTTGTTAGAGTAACTATAGAATAAGCTAAAATTTATGGTACCTTTGACATATCAAAGAATTCGCTTCAATGATTTAAGATATGTCATAGTTGGTGTCTCCATAAACCTACTCATAAATACTACTCCAAAAAAAATATCTGGACAAGTACATTTCAAATATCTCAAACTTCCAACTAAGCTCTTGAATGTTGTAAAGCTTATCTTCTCTCCTTCATCATTCCTTGACAATCTCACTTCACACTTAACTAGAGCATTCAATTTTGCACAACCATCTATCTTGAACTTTTTAAGAATCTGTTTTACAAACTTCTCTTGACTAACAAAGATTTTATTTTCTCTTTGTTTAATCTCAATTCCTAAGTAGTAAATCATAATACCAATATTTGTCTTTTCAAACTCTTTGATCATTTTTTGCTTAAAGTCTCATAACATCTTTAAATTATCGTGTGTAAAGATCAAGTTATCCACATATAAGTATACAATACTTTTTTTTATCTTTATATAGATAGCATATTCATGAGGCATTTTACAAATCTATTATTCAAGAAATAACTATCATTGTGACTATATCAAGCTTTAAGGGCTTGCTTCAATCTTGTTCAACTTTAATATCTTGTCTTTATGTCTCTTTATTTTATAATTCATAAGTTGCTTAATGTAGACCTTTTCTTCAAGAAATCCATTTTGAAAGGCTGACTTTGACATCTATTTGGTAGATTTTCCATCTATGTTGGGCAATTATAGCAATTATCAATCGAATGGTCTCCAATCTAATAACTAGAGCAAAAACTTCATCATAGTCAATTCCTTACTTTTGACTATAGTCTTTTGCCATCAATCTCGCCTTATATCTCTCCACTTCTCATTTGGCTTTCTTCTTTCTTTTAAACCTACTTGACACATATTGGTTTCTTTCCTTTTAGTACAAAAAATGATTTTCATATGTCATTCTTTTTAATTGATGCAATTTCCTTGTATATAGTAATTCTCCACTTTTCATCATTTATTACTTCTTTAAACACTATAGTTTCATGTGGCAAGATGATAATACAGTGTTGGATCATTATCAATTAAATCAATTGGATTAGTTACTTTATAAATGTCATTAAGGCTCATTATCTTTTTTTTTTTGTGGACTTGGTGGGCTATCACTACTTGAATTTTTACTAGAAAAAGATGATAAAAGTGAAATTGAGTTCTTTGGTGATTGTGGAGGTGTAACTAGTTTTTGATGATATTTATATCTATTTTCCTCTTCATTAAGAATTGATGAAATACCATACTTTTCACCATTATCTACCTACTAACCACCATGTTTCTTTTATTAAGGTTGTAAAGCTTATATCCTTTGGACTTTTTTTTTATCATAACTCTTAAAGATTAGCTTTTCGCTCTTGTCATCTAGCTTGATCCTCACTTAATCATTTATATGTATATATTCAATGCTCCCAAACACCTTCATGTGAGTAGTATTTTTTTTTTCATTTCATACCTCTTATAGAGTCATGACATTCAAGTCTTTTATATGACACCTATTTGACTAGTAAACAACACAATTTACAACTTTAGCTTAAAAATCATATGGCATCTTCATGATTTTGAGCATGTTTCTCACTATATTGAGGATGCTTCTATTCTTTTTTTCTACCATACCATTTTGTTATAGGGATTTAGGTATTGTTATGAGTAATTTTATTCATTGATCTTCATTAAACTCATTAAACTTATTAGAATAAAATTCACCCCTTATTTATTCTAGGTGATTTTATAGAATAACCACTTTTTTTTCAATTAATGCCTTAAACTTCTTAAAATAATTAAATACATTAGTTTTTTTTAAAGAAGTATATTCATGACTTTCTATTATAATCATCAATAAAGAGTAGAAAATAAATTTTTATCAAATGAGCATGGTTGAATAGGATCACATATGTGTGCATGTATCTCTTAACAGGGTTGACTTGTTCTAGATATAAACTCTTTTAAAAAAAAATTTACGGAATTGTTTGCTCACTAAACATCCTTCACACAATTAATTTAAATGTTTGATGGATGGTAGACCCTTCAACATCTCCTTTTACATCATGATCTTAAAGCTATCAAATTTTACTTGTTTAAGTCTTATATGCCAAAGCTAAGTATGATATTTCACACATGTTTTTAGGCATTTAGACACATTTATCTCCATGATTAGAAAAAAAACACCATGTTCTTTGTCATAGTTACCTTTGCTATCATAGTTCTATGAGTATCAAGTAATATCAAAATACGATTTTTCATCTTAATTTCATAACCTTTCTCCATTAATTATCTCGAA